CCGGCCCCGGCCCCGGCCCCGGCCCCGGCCCCGGCCCTGGCCCCGACGCTGCTCACCGCCTTCGAACGCGGTGGTTTGTGTTTGCAAATGCCCGGTGCTCACGCTGTCATCAGCTGACGGGAGGCTGAGATCTGAGGATCGCGGTTCAAAGCCAGCCCGGGCAGGAACGTCCTCACAAGAGTATTTTTTGTTGTTGTCGTCGTCGGGGGTCGTGGGGCTTGAACTCAGCCGGGCTCTGTCTTTCAGCTCTAGGCGAGCACTACCACAGCGCCACTTGCAGTTTTCTGCTGGTTCATTGGAGATCAGAGTCTCACGGACTTTGCTGCCCGGGCTGGCTTTGAACCTGGTCCTCAGATCTCAGCCTCCTGAGTAGCTGGGATGACAGACGTGAGCCAACAGCGCCCGGCCCTCACAAGGCTCTGACCTCCAGCTAGCCACTCAAAAACTGGAAGTGGAGCTGCGGCTCAAAGTGGTAGAGCAAAGGAGTTCAGCAGGCCAGGCACTGGTGGCTCACCTGTCTGTCATCCTAGCTACTCAAGAAGCTGAGATCTGAGGATGGCGGTTCAAAGCCAGCCGGGGAGGAAATAGCCCTGTGAGACTTATCTCAAACACCGGAAGTGGTGCTGTGGCTTCAGGGGTAGAGCATTAGTGTTGAGTACAAAGAGGTTCAGGAACAGTGCCTGGGCCCTGAGAGTTGAAGCCCTACAACGGACAAGAAAAACAAAGTTGATTTTATAACCAAGGAAATTATTTATTCTGAGGATTTAGGGGATATTTAAAGATAGTTATTTTACTACTCTTCAACCAGGATATTTGTCTTAGCAAGATTGAAGAGGCAGAAGAGGGAGGATTCTGAATTCCAGGCCAGTTTGTGTCCATAGTAAGGACAAAACAAAAACAACAAAACAAGACAACCCATTTGTGTTGAACTCTGCATGTGCCTACATGCTAAGATGGAAATAAAGTGCTCTTTGGGTGAGGGAGCAGAATTCAAACTTAGTGCCAGCGGCCCCAACTTTACCTCTGCAGGGAGTGTGAGCATCTGTTAACAGGAGGAAGGTTTAGCTTCTGTACCCTGTGAAATAAAGGGTCTTAGCACCATTTTTTCTTCATTTATAGATTTTTATTTTAGGATGATAGTACGTACAGGTTAAGGAGTAAAATACCATTCAGTGTAGAAATGGTTTTAAAAGACTTTGTTGAACCAGGTGCTGGTGGCTCACACCTGTCATCCTAGCTACTCAGGGCGCTGAGATCTGAGGATCGCGGTTCAAAGCCAGCCCGGGCAGGAAAGTCTGTAAGACTTATCTCCAATAAACCACCAGAAAACCAGAAGTGGCGCTGTGGCTCAAGTGGTAGAGCGCTAGCCTTGAACTGAAGTGCTGAGGGACAGCGCCCAGGCCCAGAGTTCAAGCCCCATGACTGATTTTCCCTAACCACCCCCCCCCCCAAAAAAAAGCCTTTGTTGAACTTAAGTTTAATGTTTAGGTTGATACTGTATTTTTTAAAGTTAGAGAAGTCAAATTAAGAAATGTAATCGCCTGTGTAACAAATAATTCTGCAGGGGCTAAGTCTCCTTTTTTTTTTTTTTCCCCTATGTGTGTGTCTGTGTTGAGACAGATCTCACTTTGTAGCTCAAACTGGCCTCAAACTCAGGATCCTTCTGCGTCAGCCTTCTCTGAGTGCTAGGATTACAGGTGTGTACATGAATTTATTTATCTGCTGGGGTTTGAGTTCAGGTTCTTAGGCTTGATCAGCAGGCGCTCTACCTCTCTAGCCATGCCCTTAGCCTTTTTTGTCCTCAGCTGTTTACTTTTTGCACAATGTCTCCAGTTCTTGTCATAAAGCTGAAACTGTCTTCCACAGGGCAGGCACAGTAGATGTGCCCCACCATGCCCAGCTTGTTTGGATCTTGCTAGCTTTTTGTGTTGGGTTGAACCATGATCTTCCTGATCTCTGCTTCCTAATGGCTAGGATTTAAGGTAGAAACCATTGTGCCTGGCTGAAATATCTTCAGTGTTTGTTTCAGATTTCTCTGTTGAGTTGAAGTCCCTGTACAGTTAAGACAATCCATAGGTGAGCTCTTATTTGAAGCACTGATTTTATTCCAGTAACAACAACTATCTTGTTGCTTGTATTAAAAACTAAAAGAGAATTTAGAAACATGAAGAACAGTAGTTTAGGTGGTTTGGGGGTGTTAGTTTGAGACAGGGTCTTACCTGAGTAGTCTAGGCTGCCCTTGAATTCAGTGATCCTCATGCTTAAGCCTCCTGAATGCTAGGATTTTTATGGTATTGCCCCCTGTAATCACAGTTCTTTGAGGAGCGGAGGCAGGAGGATTGAGCCTGGGTGAAGTTAGCAACCCTGTCTCAAAAAGAAAAGGCCATCCAGGTGCCAGTGGCTCACGCCTGTAATCCTAGCTACTCAGAAGGCTGAGATCTGAGGATCATGGGTTCAAAGCTAGCCTGGGTAGGAAAGTCTGTGATCTGTCTCCAGTGAACCAACAGAAAATCAGAAGTGGAGCTGTAGCTCAAAGTGGCAGAGTGCTAGCCTTGAGCAAAAAAAGCTCAGGAACAGGCCCTGAGCTCAAGCCCTATGACCTACCAAAAAACCCCACAACCCTCAGTAGGCCCTGCTGGGTATTTAGAGACTAGTTTTACACTGTAGTACAGGGGTGGGGTGGGGGCTGGGGGTGGGAGGTGTGGCTCACCATTTCATTGAAGTGGTATTAATACTGAACTAATTTGGGGGAAAGAAATGCCCCGACCTTGCTTGTGGTGACCTGGATTACAGTGAGTACAGGTTCCTTTCTGCCAGGGCTGGTGAGCCCCAAGCCCACTGTGGGACATTTGTGAGGGTCAGTGTACATCGGGGCGTTTGCAGGGCATGGAGTTTTCCAGAAGCTGATTCTGCAAGTCCTTCATTCAGCCAGGTTTGTAGGACCCTGTGGAAGGTTCCCACCAGAGCCCCTGACCCACGGGAGGCACAGGTGCTCCTAGGTGGGGGGGGGGGGGGGAGGCTGGCTCTTCAGACAGAGCTGGAGGAGGGCGATGCACCGGTGACTTGGCCAGCAGCTTGGCACATGGGAAAGAATCCTGGCTAGAAGAGAGCTTGGGGCGGGCTGGAGATGGCAAGGCTGTAGCCCAGCCTCTCACTGACTGCCTGTCCAAAGACAGATCTGGCCCCAGACAGCAAAAGGTTTTAGGAAGTCACCAGACAAGAGTGTTTGGGTTTGCAGTTCCCTTTGTTAGAAAACTCAGTGTATAATGTATGAGTAAAAATATGCAATTCTTTAGCAGTTATTGGTACTTTGAAAATATCAAGTGAATTTGTTTGTTTTAATCACTAACTAAGATCCTAGAGTATTCAATAGGCAAATATTAGAAGAAGTTGAATTTACTGTTAAACAAAATTTGTTTTGAGGCAGGATCTCACTGGGAAGCCCAGGCAGGCCTCTGATCTGTGACCCAACTCCTTTAGTTTCCCAAGCACTGGGACTTCCAGTGTGTGCCACCACACCTGATACTTAGACAGACAGACAGTCCAGAAGTGGGGCCCGGACCCTGCTCTTGGGCTGAAGCTTGGCCTTGTGTTCTTGCTGCATTCTTGCTCACGGTTGATGCTCTGCCACTTCAGCCATACCTAACCATTTTGCCAGTTAACCGGAGATAGAGTCTTACAAACTTTTCTGCCCAGGCTGCTTCAAACCTTAATCTTCCTGTCTCAGCCTCCTGAGTGACAAGATGGTAGACACATGCTACTGTGCACAAGTTATATTTAGTTGGAAACATGACTGCTTGCCTCCTGAGGGAAAAGCCTGCCTTCGCCTGTGTGGGCTGTGTTTGCTGGCCTCACATTAGACTTGCTCGGTGAGTTAGAGAGGACTGCAGAGGCTGTAGATAGCCAGGTTGTAGCTTCTGGAGTTTTTTCTTTTTTAATCTGTCCTAGGCTTGGGCTCAGGGTCTGGGTGCTGTCCCTGAGCTTTTGCTCAAGGCTAGTACTCTACCGGTTAAGCCACAGTGCCATTTCTGGCTTTTTCTGTTCATGTGGTACTGATGAATTGAACCCAGGGCTTCAAGCATGCTAGGCAAGCACTCTACCACTAAGCCACATTCCCAGACCTTTCTGGAGTTTTCTAGATCTACTCTGATGGGGTTGGTCAGAAGCCCAGTTCCCAGAGAATACCAGTACAGAGAGCTGGAAGGAAGGGCTGTGGAAAGGACCACGGCTTTGTGGGTAGGCTTTGACTGTCTCTAGGATCAGGAATGGGAGGGGGCTATGGGGTGGGGAGGGAGAGAAGTAGACGTTTGAGTTCCAGGGAGCTGGGACATGGAAGGAGACGGAGGGGAAGTTAGGGTTAGGAGGCATGGCCTACCTTTCAGTCAGCAGGCTGGTGTGGATGAAGGAACCACCAGAGACACAGGTAGGCCTTCCCAGCCTGAAGAGTACACGCTGGCCTGGGTGGAGGGGAGCAGAGCTGCTGTTGGAAAAGGCAAGAAGATAGTGTCAGCGGAGATGGGGGCCGCGCCTTTGAGCCTGGCTCGATTCACCAAGAGCAGCAGAGTAGAGCTGAAAGTCAGGAGCCGGTTATGTCAGTACCCTTTGTATAAATTAACTGCCTTTAATGACTGCCATGCCGAGTGAGTGAGTGAGTGAGTGTGTGTGTGTATGCACACACGCACGCATATGTGTGTATGTACATGTGTGTGTACGGGTCCTGGAGTTTGAACTCAGGTCCTGTCCTCTGTCCCTGAGTTTTATGCTCAAAGTTGATGTTCTCCCGCTGCTCCACTTGCGGCTTTTTGGTGGTTAGCTGGAGGTGAGTCTCAGGACTGCCCTGCCTGGGCTGGCAGCTCTTCCTGTATCATACATAACATGCTTAGTGCCTGTACACATGAAGAGTGTGTGTACAGTTCCAGGCCAGCCCCTGCTGTCCGCATTCATGAGCTGGGGGGCGGGGGTGGGGATCTCCTGAGCCGGCACGTTGTTGGAGCCAGGCCAGGTCTCATTCTGGCTGCACTGATTTGACCACTTGGTTCCAGTGACTTGGTGTTGAGCCATTTGTCCACTTCCCCTTCCTCTCTCTTCTTACAATGTCCTTAAACTAGCTAACAGTGACTCCCAGCTAAAGAGGAGGCTTGAGTGGTAGAGCACCTAACCTAGCAAGCCCAACTCACTGCGATCAAACCAAACTTACTGCCAAAAAGTAAGTAGTAGCTCCCTTCAAATACAACTACTTTCTATTGATTTTTTTTTTTTTTTTGGTTGGTCGTGGGGCTTGAACTCTGGGCCTGGGCGCTGTCCCTCAGCTCTTCAGCTCAAGGCTAGCGCTCTACCACTTGAG